GCTTTTGCTCACTTTCCACCATTGTTGTTTGCCACCATCGCAGACCCACCATTGACTTCCACCCCTCCGGATCTGGCAGGGTGTCCGCAGCTTTTCTGATCCAGTGAGGCGCCCATTGCTGCTCCCGTTTGGGCTAGAGGCTTGCCATTGTTCTTGTGCAGCTAAGTGCCTGGGTTCCTCCTAATAGAGCTGAACACTAGTCACTGGGTTCCACGGTTCTCTTCCGTGACCCTCTGCTTCTAATAGAGCTATAACACTCACTGCATGGCCCAAGGTTCCATTCTTTGGAATCTGTGAGGCCAAGAACCCCAGGTCAGAGAACAAAAGGCTTGCTGCTATCTTGGGAGCAACCGCCACCATCTTGGGAGCAACCGCCACCATCTTGGGAGCAGCCTGCCACCATCTTGGGATTTCTAAGAACAAAGATCTGTGGGTAACAAAATGTGTCAAAATTGGTGAATATTTAGATCTGCTTTAAAAAATTGTGACTACCTAACTGTGGGCTCTGAGTAAGAGTATACCAGTCTTGTGTTCAGGTATAGATTTAACTTGGATATGCTAAGAACTTAGTACTCTGTGTAACAGAAAAAAGTTTCCAGATGTGCTGCCTATAGTACGATCGAGATGGTGAAATGTCATCTCAGATTTATCTGTGCAATATTCTCATAAAAGGCCTTCTTTGTCGTAGATAACCCATGTTAAATTTCAATCCCCATGCTAGAACAAGTAGAGGTCTATGCTCAGCCCTGGCTGGTTTTTCTTTTTTAAAAAATTTTTAAAATTTTTTTTAATTTTTTTTGAGACAGTCTTGCTCTGTCACCCAGGCTGGAGCATGGTGGCATGATCTCAGCTCACTGCAACCTCCACCTCCTGGGTTCAAGCGATTCTCCTGCCTCAGCCTCCCGAGCACCTGGGACAACAGGCATGTGCCACTATGCCCAGCTGATTTTTGTATTTTTAGTAGAGATGGGGTTTTACCATGTTGGCCAGGCTGGTCTTGAACTCCTGACCTCAAGTGATCTACCTGCCTCTGCCTCCCAAAGTGCTGGGATTACAGGTGTGAGCCATCACTCTGGCTGGTACTTTAAGAGCTGGTGTAGGTAGGGAAATGGGTGAGGCTGGCCCAGGTTACCAGAATCTCAGTTCCGGGAAAGTGTGGCTCAGCAAGGAAGGGAAGACTGATGACTTGTAAATAGTTTGAATTGCTCTAGTGGCTCTCCCTGCCACCCCATCCACACTCACTGTGGGCTAGTACCTGTGTCAGACACTGGGGATCCAAAAATCACTAGTAAGACATAGATCTGCCCTACAAGACTTTCCCATCTCTGACAGTATCAACCGAGTGATCTTTTAAATCTCAAATATTATGTAATGAAATCAATATCTTTGACAAGGGGCCTTTTGGGAAAGCACATTGGAAGATATGTGTTGGGGCTTGAGGGGACTAAAAAATAATGCCCATTTTCACCACCCAAATTTGAAAGCAACTGATAGATGCAGCAGGTAGGTTGATGGTAATTATAACATAGTTATATGTTTGCACAGCATGGCTTAGGTTCAAAGATGAATGGACTTGTTTAGGACACTGTTCTGCCTCCCCATCTCCAAGTATAGCATTGCTCATCCAGTTGGAGATTCAGTAGACCATTTGAGTCTACCAAATGCACACATCAACCGGAATGCTGCTGTCTCTAAACTGGGACAAAAAGGGAAGAAAGTAATCAATTCTCTAGCACTTACAATCTTTTAATAGATTAGTCTTACCCAGTTCAGAAATGGGCTAATTGCTGTCACCCCAAATCAGGTTTCACACTCATCAGTGGGGAAAAGTAAGTAATGGATGGGGTGGAGGTTATGAGTGTTCCTACAGATAAAACTTTCTTCCAATGGGAAACAAGAAGAGTGGGGAAATAAATGTTCATTGTAATTTTCCCCTACCTTTTGAAAGGGGTGGAAGATAAATGCCTTGTCCACTGTGGGCTGGTTCTATAAAAATGTTAAAGAAAAACTTTAGACAAATTAAATTTCACAGTTTATCTGAACAAAGAACAACTCATGAATTGGGCAGCACTCAGAACCAGAAGAGGTACGAAGGATTCTGCTTAGCATTGTTAGTAGGAAGCTTTTATAGGCTGACACAGAAGCAAAATAGAGAAATCACCTGATTGGCTACAGCTAAATGTCTGCCTTATTTGGACTTGGTGTGATGAGCTGGCTGCCTGTGATTGGCAGAAACCTGACTGAAATCTTGCTGGTTGTGATCAGATGAAATTCAACTATTTATTATACTCCTAAGTTTCAGTTTGCTTATGTATGAAGTTAGGTTGCAGTTTGTTATATAAAAACTCAAAGTACAGAGACAACCTCAGGCAAATGGCCTCCTGCTTATTTAATTTAACAGAAGTAAGCAGACTACAGTCCCCTGATGAGACATTTGAAAGAAAATTCATGGATCTCTGGTTCCAAGCTGTCTTATAGATATAGTGGCTCCTTTTTGGCCTCCTAGGGGCCAATAAGACCAGGAGCATTTACAGAGGGACAAAGGCAACCTTTACCTAGAGTAATCCACAGATCCCAACTGGCCGGCTAGTCCAGGAAACAGCACAAACTCAATCCTCTCCCTGGAACAGAGACTGGCCTCCAAGGCCATACTCAGATCTCAGTACCAGAATAGAAGCCAAGTCTGGCCTTGCACGCTGCTGCTTGACGACCCTAGTAGCTGTTTAGTTTAGAAGATGATAAATTAAAGCTGGAGTAGAGCTTAGGTTGTCATCTTCTCAGAATCCACTGCTTCTTGTTCTTGAGCTGCTTTAATGGAGAATCCTCAGCCGAATGTAATTTTAAAGTTAATTTAGTGCCTTCTTAAAGGATAAAGCTCACAAGTTCCCACAGAAACTCCCAAAAATAACTAATACAGAAATTCTCAGTAGTAATTTCAGCCCACCTTGGGTTAAAATCTGAATACTGTAGTTTTTAGCATTTAATTTAGAAAAGTTTGGAGTGAGAAACTTTTGGGAGTATCTTTTTAGAAATTACACTGGCTGGGCATGGTGGCTCACTCCTGTAATCCCAGCTCTTTGGGAGACCGAGGTGGGCGGGTCACTTGAGGCCAACATGGTAAAATCCACGTCTCAACTAAAAATGCAAAAATTAGTCAGGCGTGGTGCCACACACCTGTAATCCCAGCTAACTTGGGAGGCTGAGGCAGGAGAATGGCTCGAACCCGGGATGCAGAGGTTGCAGTGAGCCGAGATTGTGCTACTGCTACACTCCAGCCTGGGTGACAGGCGAGACTCCGTCTCAAGAAAGAAAGGAAAAGCAAGAACAGAAAATCAAACACCACATGTTCTCACTCATAGGTGGGAATTGAACAATGAGATCACTTGGACATAGGAAGGGGAACATCACACACCGGGGCCTATTGTGGGGAGGGAGTTGGGGGAGGGATAGCATTAGGAGATATACCTAATGTAAATGACAAGTTAATGGGTGCAGCACACCAACGTGGCACATGTATACATATGTAACAAACCTGCACGTTGTGCACATGCATCCTAGAACTTAAAGTATAATAAAAAAAAAAAAAAAGAAAAAAGAAAAAAAAAGAAAAGAA